GTAGTAGTAGTAGTAGTAGTAGTAGTCGTAGCAGTAATCGTAGTCGTAGTCGTAGTAGTAGTGGTAATAGTGGTAGTAGTAGTAGTAGTAGTCGTAGTAGTAGTAGTAGTAGTAGTAGTGGTAGTAGTAGTAGTAGTAGTAGTAGTAATTATTATTAGTATTTTCATTATTATTGTGATTATTACAATTCGTATTATTATTATTCTTATTATTAGTAGCAGTAGTCGTCGTCGGCGTCGTCGTCGTCGTCGTCGTGGTAGTAGTTGTCGTAGTAGACGTCGTCGTCGCCGGAGTAGTAGTAGTAACAATGATGCGGAAATTGACTCTGATCGGATCGGCCGGGCCAGGGTGCTGTCGTGCACCCTGGCCTGGCCGATCCGATCCGAGTCCATATCCGCATCACTGCAGCCCGATCCGATGCACCGTCCGATTCGACCCGACTCCCCGATTCGATGCCGACTGCTCCTGTCTTCCCTCCTCGTCTTCCTCCTCTTCCTCCTCCCCTCCTCCTCCCTCCTTCTCCTCCTCCTCCTTCTCCTTCTCCTCCTCCTCCTCCTCTTCCCTTGAAGTGTGGGGGGTGGTCCCAGGGCCGTGCTTGAAAGTTGGCTGGTCCCTGCCTGCGTCCCACTAGGAGAGGTCAGGAGGTTATCCACCGTTTTTTCCAGGGGAAATCCCCGAATAGGAAGTGCCAGGGGTTCTGGACAGAACTGTGCCCCCTGCTCGGCTGGTCCCTAAGAGGCCGTCGGAAGGACCCGCCATCTTAGTCTTGCGGTTCCTGACCCTACGGTGGTGAGTTTTCCCTCGGCATCAGGGGCCACCCCTCTATATGAGCTGCGGTTGGCTGCTCGCATGGAGAGAATATGTATTAAGGAGGCCTCAGCTCGAGGCCAGTACTTTGAGCCTGAGCTCAGCAGTTATTCTGTGCACTTTCCCTGAATGGGCATTCCATTCCATTCCATTCCATTCCATTCCATTCCATTCCATTTCATTCCATTCCATTCCATTCCATTCCATTCCATTCCTCTCCTCCTCCTCCTCCTCCTCCTCCTCCTCCTCCTCCTCCTCCTCCTCCTCCTCCCCCCCATCCCTCCCTCCTTCCCTCCCTCGGGCGGGGCTAGGACGAGGATGGATCCGTTCCAGAGCACTCTCGGAGCGTTCTTGAACGCTCTGAGAAGGCGGTGCAGGGCCGCCGGATCTCAGAGGCTTTCGACTTATCTTCACCCGATGCGGTCCTCGTCCTGGCTCCGTCTTGTTCCCTCCTCCCCCCCCGAGCCTCCGAAGGGGGCCGCCGCCGAAGCGCGGCAGGAGGCGGGGTCGCCCGCCCGAGGCCCCGGCAGCTCCCCGCGCAGGCCTCTGCTGCGTCGTGGAGGTTCGGGGTTTGAGAGGATCGTTTTGAGGGGCCCGTTTTCCACCACCACCACCATAAGTTGGAGGGGGGAAGGAGGAGGAGGAGGAGGAGGCGGAGGCGGAGGCGGAGGAAGATGCAGGAAGAGGAGGAGGAGGAGGAGGAGGAGGCGGAGGAGGAGGAGGAGGAGGAGGAGGACCCCCTCCCCCTCCCACTCATGGTGGTGGTGGTGGTTGTGGTGGAAAACAGGCCCATAACGCTTGGCATCGCTTGGACGTGTGCATCTTGTCTCGGCGAGGACTCTCGAGGAGCATCCTGGACCATCGAGAACACGCATGGAATCGGGGAACGGACGTCCGAGCTATGGGTGAGAGCACGGTCGAGGCTCGCCACGGAGCCTTCTCCTTTCCTCCTCCCCCGCCCTCCTCTGGCCCGCGGAGCCGCGGGTTCCCCCACCCCTCCCCCTCCCCCTGAGCCCCGCGAAGGCGACCGCGACGGGGACACGTGCCGGGCGGTTCTTCCGCAACTTCATGGCCGGCCCCCGGGCGCGGGGAGGGGAGCGCCGAGGGAGGGGGGGGCGGGGCGGCGGCGCGGCGGGCCGCCGGCGGGAGGGGAGGGGCCGGAGGCAGCGACAGGGTGCAGGGTTTGGTGGAGGGGGTGGGCTCGGGGGCGGGAAGCATCGATCCCCAGATCACCTCCAAGTGAACCATGACGGCCATCATGTCGGGGACTACAAGTGGGTTTCCGTGCCATATTTCCCATTGCGAGATGCTGGCGACTTCGAGCGCCGGTTCTTTGGGTAGTCGTCTGCGGCCCGTGATTGTTCCGACACGCATCTGGCGCAAGCGATCGTCCGTGGCCTTGGCAGTAGGGCCTGCCCTGACGACTCTGGCTCCCGGTGCACCAGGTGCGAAAAGGTGGGTGAGCTTGCGCCCAGTGGATTCGCGCAAGTATGAAGGGAGGAGGAGGGAGGGAGGAGGGAGGGAGGAGGGAGGGAGGAGGACGGAGGAAGACGGAGGAGGATGGGGGAAAAGAGAGAGCAGGAGGAGGAGGGATGGAGGTCCGTCTTGCGTCTTCTGAGGCCCATCTAGAGGATCAAATACCACGCGTTCGCCACATCATGCGAGTCGGGAGACCGCGGTATCTTTCACGACTCGCTTGTCAGAAGCGCCAGCGCATTCGATTGGCCATGAAGCGCGACAGTGTTTCCGCCCACCGTCTAAGCCTGCTGGGCCGCGTGAAATTCTCGCCTGCCCAACTCAGGGGCAAGGTCAAGCACACCATCGGACCATCGGAGGGATCTGCAGCACGCTCACTCTGAGGAAGTACTTCTTGCGACGCATCGGCGCCGGTGCGAATAAAGGGCAGGGGACTGGGCATAGCGCCGCGCACGCCAGCCATCTTCGCTCAAGAGATTGCGGCCTCCGTACTACATTGAAGCTTCTAGCGCGCATGGCGTCCATGCGGTTCTTCCTGTCTGCTATCCTGGCAGTCCAGGCTAAGACCGCGCTGGCCACCAATGCCTCGCCCATTGCCAAGGTGCTGGAGATGATTCGACCAGCTGATGCTATGCCCGACCCATTCAGCTTCTGCGGTTCTTTCAGCACCTCGCCTGATAGGGTTACTCGTTTGGGATAGATCAGCCCTTGCTCGGTTGCTTCCTCCTCCTGCTCTCCCTCCCTTCTCCCATGCTGCCCCTGCTGACCCTTGCTCTCCTGTCTTGACCCCAGATCCTCCCCTCCTCAGCGCTTCGGTGCCGTTTCGGCGTCAGATCTCGGGGTATTGGGCCCAGAGGGCCCCCCTCCCTCTTCTCTCTCGCCTCGTCTCGAAGAGTACTGATCGGCATGAACACATATTGTCTGGGAGGCGCGCGGATTTCTTGCATCGGCGTGGGCCCCCCTCTCTGGCGCGCGGAGCGCGCCAGGGGCGGCGCAGGAGGCACCGTCAGGGGCTTCCTGCGCCGATCCAAGAAATCATTGCGGACCTCCGACGGTGTTATCTTTAAGGTTATTTGTTTTTTGGTCCTTCTTCGTTGTTCTCGTCGCCTCCCTCCTTGCCCCACCCCTCACTCCTCATCCCTTCTCCGCCCTCCTCGCTCGCCCCCCCTCTCTCTGACATCCTCTCTCGCCTCCTCCTCCATTTCCCCCCCTCCTCCTTCCTCCTCCATCCTCGCTCGTCCTCGCTCGTCGCCGTCGTCCTCCTCCTCCTCCTCCTCGTTTCTTGCCTCGTCGTCTCTCGCCTCCTCTTCCTCCCTCCGTCTCCATCCTTGTCCCCCTCGTCGCCGCCCTTCCACCTGCCTCTCGGGGGAGTCGCGAGCGGAGGCACGGGTTGCGGCCCGGGATGGGTGGCATCCTCCGCCACCCCCGCCTCCGACGACGACGACGACGAGACCCCACCGGCGTCTCCTCTTCTTTCGCCTCCTGCCCTCCTCCATCGTCCCGCCTCCCCTTTCCTGCCTCCCTCCCTCCCTCCATCCCTTCCTCGCTCCCTCCTCGGCCCGGCGGCCGACGACGACGAGACCCGAGGCCCCCTGACCTCTCCCGGGACGCACTCTGCGGTTCCTGATTGTCGTGGGGCCCAGACTTGGCTTCCAGAGACCAAGTCCGCGAAGAGCCGACGGCGGCGATTTGGCCGACGGACGACTACCACGACGAGACGCTGGAATAAGGAATTGCACGGGCTTGTATGGGGCTTGCGGTTCCTTAGATCCTTCTATGGTTGTTCTTCTAGCGCTCCTCGTGCACCCAGGCGCTGTCGGGGTTGAAATGGGATTTCGCTCATTACGTCTAGCGCTCCTCATGGTAGTAGCTTGAGTGTGCGACGACGAGACCCAAGTTTGAGTGTGCGACGACCGTGGCGCCAAAGATCGAAGACCGAGGCTGGACACTCTCTGCTGGGGTCGTCGGGCGCCTTTCGTTGAAGGGGCCCTGGGACACACCCGATTCGTGAGCCTCCCGGGGCGCCCGGGCCGCCACGGCAGGCTTCGCTTCGAGAGTCCGCACTCTCGGGGAATGCGGGGGGCGTCGGCCTCGAGGTCGCCTTCGTCGCGGCCGTCGACTCCTCGCGTTCTCGGCCCCCGGAGGCCGAGTGTGGGCCCGAGGACGAGGACCGAACGGAATGCACCCCAGAGAGAGTCTCGGGGTCCAGGGAAGCCCGCCGAGGCGGCGGGCCGGGCGCTCAGGGAGGCCCATGAAGGTCGGCTACAGGCAAGTCAGGAGAGGAAAAACACGCAGACACAATGAATCGTCGACGCCCAGGAGAATATTGGAACATATGGGCAATGGGGGGGAAGACAAAACCTAGAAACTATGGGACACTTTGGGAATCCTGTTACTTGTGTCTATGTATTTGTGTGTCCCAGGGCCCCTTCAGGTAAGAGTGATTTTTCGTTGGGATTGCCTTTGTTGAAGCGGGCACACTGGGGTCTCCAGATGGTTGAATGCGATGCGATAACAGCGTCCCGCGCGCGCTCGGGTTAGGCCTCCCCGCGGCCCCCAAACGTTGCGCACCGAAGGTCGCTCTTGCCTGGGGTCACTCTTTGCGTGTACAGTCGGCCTCGAATAATACTTTGTGGGTCGACCCTGCCAAAGCAATGTGGCCCTCGGAAGGGTCTTGTGTCCTCTCGCGTGTCATGTCCATTCAAGTCCGACCATAGCCGAGAAGGGCGCCCGACACCCCCAGCAGGGAGTGCCCAACCTCGACCCTTGATCTTGGGCGACGCACGGCGGCGAGGGCCTACTCGGGCGGCCCTCGGGGTCCCCGCCGCAGGTCTCCGCGGGTCTCGGGAGTCGGGGGGGCGGCCTGGAGGGGTGGCCGAGGGCCGTCGGCGCTCCCGCTGGCCACACGCGTGCTACTCCACCCGCACAGCGCAGCGACACGAGGCTCGTCGAGGTCGAAGCTACGGCGGGCTGCGCGGTAGCCAGTGCACGGCCGCCACTGCACAGAAGCGGCGGCTCGATCGATGAGGGGGTGGAGGGGGGAGGGGGAGGGGGAGGGCGAGGGTGGACGTCGACGCCGGGGCCAAACGATCTCCCAGACCTCGGGGCGCCCCGCGCCGTCGCCTTCTTCCCAGGCGCTCCCTGGACGCGCCCCCCCTCCCTTTCGTCCGCGCGCACGCCTCGGGCCATGCTTTGCCACCCCCCTCCTCCTGGCCCCTCGCTTCGGCGCACCGGGGGGAGGCCGCTGCGGAGGCACCTGAGATGCGCCAGGAGGGCCCAGCTGGCATCAGAGAAGGCCTCGACCCTCCATCGTCGACGGCCCAGATTTCGGCGGCGGCGACGGCGACGAAGGCGGCGGTGACTGGGCTGCAGGTGAGGGTGATCCTTCGCTGGACTGGACTTCGGTGCACGGCTTTCGGGGGGCGCGGGGGGCCAGATTGCAGCATGCAGGCCGCCATCGTCGCTTTTCACGCAAGCGGTTTGCGAGCCGCACGCCGAAGAGCACTCTTGCCCAGGGCCACTCTTTTGAGTGCAGCCAGACCGCGACAAGGGATTTTCTTCGATGGCGACGGCGACACGGAAGGGCCGATGCCCCCGAGACGCCCGTGGGTCCACCTCTCAGTCGGGTGGGCCTGGGCCGATCTCTGACCTGCAGGCCAAGGTGATCTCCGAGGGGGAGGAGCGACAGATTCTTCGTCGTCCTCCGCCTTGTTCTCATCGTCATCCTTCCGCTCATTGGCGTCATCCTGCGTCGGTTGTTCGGTAGGTCGCTCCGCCGTTGTCGCCGTCGTCGTCGTCGTTTCTTAACGTCCGTCGTCGTGGTCGTGGTCGTCGCCGCTGGAGAACATGTTGGGGCAGCAAGCACACGGTGGTACATTAAAGGGTTGGAGGTGGGAGCAGCAATTTACAAGACATGTTGGCAGGGATTGGATACATCTCGTGTTGGACAGCGAGTACCGGACTACGTTGAAATCTCCATGGATCTGGCGCCGAACAAGTCGGCACACGCAGCAGCTCTGCCTGGGCCTTGAGAGCCTCACTTCCAGGCCGTCCTGAGCTTGGTGCCAAGGCGGCGTCCAGCATGTCAAACGTAGGTCGTCGTCGTCGTCGTCGTCGTCGTCGTCGTCGTCGGTCGCCACGCGTCCGTTCGTCTGCCTTCGCCGCCCGTCGTCGCCTTCCTTGGAGATCATGGCTCTCGAGGCTCCTGCGTTCTGGACTCTGCTCGGCACCCTCTGAAGCCCCAGTAGGCCTCCCAGGGCCGAGGACTTCGGAGACCTGCGGGGACCGCCGGGGACCTCAGGGGTCCGCTAGAGGAGGTCCTGGTCGTCGTTGTCGTCGTCGTCGTCGTCGTCGTCGACGTCGTCGTCGTCGTTGCCGAAGATCGAAGACCGAACTTTTTGGACGCGCCCTTTGGCGCCGCCTGGAGCGTCCTCGTGGCCACGAACTTCTGGTCAGAGGACACCCCGAGAGACGTCGGTGGTCTCAGATTCTTCGTCTTCGTCGCCGTCGTCTTCGACGCTGTCGTCGGCTCTCCGCGTATCCGGCTGCCTGAGGCAAGTCCCGCCATCGTGCCAACTTACCAATCTGGGTGGTCATTGTTCGGGAGGTTTAGAGGAGGCAGGAACGTGTGCCAACTCGTGTCCCCAGGCAGAAGGGGCAGGAACGTGCCCGAGGCTTGGGAGAGCCGTGGGGTGTGACACGCGGCTTGTGACTCATTCTTCCGCGTCGTGTCAGGGTGCCATTTCTCGCATTCGTCGCGGTTTTCCTCACTTCGTCTTCCGCCTTCCCTTGTGTCCTCGTGGAGGCTTCCCGAGGGCTTCTTAGAGGATCTTGAGGACGTCTAGGGGGGGGGGCGTCATTTGCCCGTCTTGGGGTTATCTTCGAGGCCTTTTGGGCCCTCTTGAGAGCTTTTTGGGTCCTCTTGGGGGCCTTTCGAGCCGTATTGGGGTGACGGTAGTCCGAAAGTGCGTCCACGCGAAAGTGTGTCAAAGACCACAGGACAATCAGTGATTTAGACCTTTTCGGTCCCCATTGGGGCTCCTCTCGGAGCCATCTTGAGCCATCCTGGGGGCCTCTAAGGCCGTTTTGGTGCCATTTTGGGCCGTCTTGTGGCGATCTCGAACTGTATTGGAGGCATCCTTTGCCGTCTTGGCGGCCTTGCTGACCACCAGACATCACTTGGCATTCTCCGACACCTCAACGTGCCAGGGGGCATGGTGATACATTCGGCTTCTGGAGGCCAGGACAAACCGAAACTGACCCAGGATGAAGAGACGACCCCCTGGAAGGATGGGCCGTTCGTCGTCGTCGTCGCTGTCGTCGTCGTCGCTGTCGTCGTCGTCGTCGCTGTCGTCGTCGTCGTCGTCGTCGCCGTCGTCTTCGCCGTCGTCTCGCCCCGAGAGGTTCTCGTGGGTTTCTGGGGCGCTCCATGGGATTGCGGGGCCCGAGCGTGGTTCCCATAAGCTGCGCCCCGTGGAAAGAGGGAGCCGCCCCGAACCGCCGCCCGAGGTCCGGGAGCTAACCAGGGGCAGGAGCATCCGAGGCCCCCACCTCCCCGGGCCTCCACCCTCGAGCCTACCAGGGCTGCCCACAGCGGACTCCAGGAGGCCTTAGAGGCCACGACGACGACTTTCAGGCGGTCAAGGCGTCTCCGAGGCGCGCCCCACGCGCCCCACGCGCCCCCCCAGGCCCCCCTCTCAGATGTGCCAGCATGGCACCCGAGCCAGTCTCAAGACGCCCCGCGGCGACCCAAGTCCCCGCCCAGAGATTGCCCCAGGACGCCCCCAGCTGTCCCTCGGGCCCGCCAGGTCCGTCTCATCAGGCCCAGCAGGGCCCCGAGACGGCCCCAGGGCCCCAGGGGGCGGACGCCAGTGTGCAATCAACCCGCACAGTGCACGACGGTCGTTGCAAGTAGTTGCTTTTCGGAGGTTGATACACCTCCTACCCTGACACGTCGATTCGCGAATTTGCCGTTTTCGGTTTGCGAGAGGGCGTCGCGGCCGTCATTTTCGCGGGTCCAGGTCCGTCGGTTTCGGTCCTAGGCCGTTTTGGTAAGGGTGGTTTACTAAAGGGAGGGTTGTCCACCGCCGAACTACGGACCCCCAGATCCCAATTTGCCTTGGCGCCTTCCTACTTCAAGAGTCGAGCGGTTGTCCCTCGTCCCTCCCCTTCAGGAGGTGGGCGGAAGCCCAATCTACCTTCAGCGCCTTCCTGCTCCATGCTTCTACCCACTGCTTCCGACCGACGGGTATCCAGGCTAGTAAGGGTGAACGATTTTCCAAGGTTGCCCTCGCATTCTTCCCTTTCGGCCCATCCCTGACCGCTTTCGCTGGCCGCGCCTCTCTTGCAAAGCGTGGGCATTGCCTTCGAAGGCCCTTGCATCCTTATCACGCGTCCTCGTTTTACGGGTCGACTGTACCCCAAGATGGCCTCAAGAAAGCTCCGACGAGACCTCCCCATACTGACCATTGTTGTCCCCGAGGACTCCCTCGTACGAAGGCCAGGGCACGTGTGCCGCCTGCTTCTGATTTGCGTGAGCGATCCTTGAGTCCGCCTTGATCGAGCTCAGCTCGGAAGAAGACAAACCATCCCCACCCCCCTAAGAGGGAACCTTGGTCCCGTAGGCCGACTTACCCCACCTACGTGGGATGGACGCCGTCTCGTTGTCTTTTGAGCGGGTCGCTTCCGATGAGCTTCCCAGGCCTCGAGATGTTTCCGGAGCATCGCCCAAAAGAGTCCCTCTTGGCAAGAGGAGCTTGCAATCGTTCCAAGACGGACCCTGATGTTCACAAGAGCGCTGCAAGAGCGTCCGAGGGGGCCCGAGACGAAAATAGGGTTTGGCATCCAGGCTGGGGGCCCAAATGCAAGGACCACTCGCCTCCAGGATGGCTCCATGAGCGCCCTCACAGTAACCATCCCCACCTAACGGAGGGAGCTGCCTCACCCTGTCCTGGTCGGGGCTGCACGGTTCCGACGATGATTGAGTCAACGTCTGTTCACAGTGCCCTCAAAACTTCCCAAGAGTTGCCCTCTGATAGACCTCTCCCCTTGGAGGAGTCGCACAAGGTCTTTTCCGAGTTCGCGGAGATGTGTGAGGACCGCTCGCGCCAGCTCGGCTTCTCGATCAAGACGGCGGAGGGCCAGATCACCGACCTGAAGGCGACGCTCGCGAAGGAGGCTGCCAACAGCGAGGACCGGGCTTGTCTCGGAGCGCAAGCCGTCGCCATGAAGGACAAGGGGTCCTGAGGGAAACGGGCCTGAAGTTTTTTACCGTGCTCGGCCCCCGTGAGCCCTCCACGGCCCCCCCAGGACCGCCAGGAAACACTTCAGGAAGAAAAGCTCGTCCCTGGTGGCAAGACGCGGGGTGCAGGACATGGTTCCCTCAGGACCCGTTTCCTTCATGGGCCCAAGGCTGCCCACGGCTCGTTCGCTTCGGCTGTTTCGCAGTCGTCTGCATTCGGCCGTTCGATTCGGTTCGCTCGGTTGCTGCGCCGCTGCGTCCTGCTTTCGATCCATCGGTTTGGGTCGGTTTTGGTTTCCCTCTCGGTGCGGCCAGAGCGCCCTCCGCAGCCCCCTGGCGGCGTATCCAGCGCCGCCCGCGGCGGGCTCCCCGCGCCAGCCGAGAGGGATAACATGTCAATTGTAAAGCCGAGTCATCTTGGGCCAAAAAGGGCGGGGTGGAGGGTCTTTGGGAGAGGCTGGGAGGCCTCTTGGGGCCATCTTGGGCCCCATGTCTCAAAAAGAGAAGGCGCCTTAACTCGGATCCCCCCCCCGGAGGCTCTCAAACGGCGTCTTGGGGCCGTCTTGGAGCGCTCTTGGGCGCCTCTTGGGCGATCTTGGGGCCGTCTTCGGCCTTCTTGGGCCCCCCTTGGGGCCCTTTTGGGCCACCATGGTGCCATCTT